CAACCGATGATGCACCAGCATAAAGAGGAATTTTGCCTTATAAATTCCTAAGATTTCACCAGATTTTATGACATGAACACAAGCATCGTGATAATGAAATTAATAGTAAATTCAGATAAAAATTATCTAAGTAAATTGAGACTTTTTTTTTTCCTCTTAACTATGTTGTAAAGAACGTGTTTGCATTATGTTGAAGTGCCCAGTGGTTGCGGCCAATGAATAGAATTATAACTCAGTTTAAAAGTAGTTTAATATTCTAGTGGTAAAACAATTAGAAGTTAAGAATTTAGCATTTTTTATATTATTTTCCCTCTGTAACTCTAGTATGTTTCAAAAAATAGGTGAGCCCCAATTAAAAATCTGACTTGCTTTCCTGTGTCACAGAACTAAAGATGAACTGAAAACAGAAATCTCAAAATGCAATGATGCTAGTCCGTTACATTTCAGTACTTTAGTGTTCATTATGTACATTTGGCCAGTATGCAAGAGAAAGAACAATAAAGGGCCAAATTAAAAGTTTGCTTTGTAGGATAAATTATTACCAGTTCATTCTGCTCCAGTGTGTACTGGTAACACTTGTAAGCAGTTCGTTCTCACATTTTTTTTTTTTCCAAAACACTGTTGCAAAATTGCCTTGCCTGTTTTTCCCTCCTTTGCATAGTCTAGGTCCTTAAATTTCAGCAATTCTAAATCAGAATGGCATCTAATAGGTGACACATGAAATGTATTTGCTATTAATTCAAACATTTATGACATATTCATTAGGCAAATATGTAATACATATTTATCAAGTCACATTACTCTGTCCAGTAATTAAAAGAAAGGGACGAGGGGCACCTGGGTGGCTCAGTCGGTTAAGCGTCTGCCTTCGGCTCAGGTCATGATCCCAGGGTCCTGGGATCGAGCCCCGCATCGGGTTCCCTGCTCCGCGGGAAGCCTGCTTCTCCCTCTCCCACTCCTCCTGCTCGTGTTCCCTCTCTCGCTGCGTCTCTCTCTGTCAAGTAAATAAATAAAAAATCTTAAAAAAAAAAGGGGGGGGGACGAATATGTATCTCTATCTTTTTTTTTTTAGCAAAAGAAGTAATTTGTAGTAAGCACTTCTAATTATCTCAGCCAAATGTTTATAGCATTGGAAAGATAAGACTTGTTGTTTGAATCATTTAGATTTTATAGATAATTTTTATACAGAAATACTTCTCTTCTGTTGATGCTTTTGTACCTCTCCACATATATGGCAGATTACTGAAATAATAATTTGTCCTTTAGCTATAGTGAGTAAGACTCTTTTTTATCCCTAGTTTGCTAGATGCAAACTTTAGCCATTTTTATGGCCTTATAGAGATAGTAATGCTAATTAATGTTTTAATAGGAAAATATGTTGGCCAGTAAAACTGTTAAATTTGAAACATGGATTATAAATTCAACTTGGTTGCCCTAATGACAATGTTGATAGTGATAATGATTATGCAATTAATATTTATGGAGTGCTTCTAGAATGCTAAGCTCTCTGCTAAACATTTTACTTACTATTATTTAATTTCCCCAACTACTCAGTTAAAGGAGATGTTTTTAGGCCAACTTTACAGATGAATTTATAACCATTATATCTCACATTTAATAATAATTAAAATATACTGCTATGTTAATAACATATTTTAGGGGCGCCTGAGTGACTCAGTCGGGTAAGCGTCTGCCTTCGGCTCGGGTCATGATCCCAGGGTCCTGGGATTGAGCCCCACGTTGGGCTCCCTGCTCAGTGGGGAGCCTGCTTCCCTCTCTCCCTGGGTCTCCTGCTTGTGCTCTCAGTCTCTATCTTAAATAAATAAAAGCTTAAAAAAAAACAAACATATTTTAAATATTCAAATCTGAAGCTTTGCCCATGTGAAATTTCTGTGTATATATAGTAGATATGTGTGTATAAGTATATATATGCATATGTATGTTTGTGTATATATGAATATATGCATATGCATATATGCATATGTATGTTTGTATATGTATATATATGTTCTTTTGTTCATCCACAAATACTGATTTGTAGACTACATGTTATAGGCTGCTGTGCTAAAATCTGGAGATAGTACAGTGTCTTGCCTTTAAGGGACTTCCAGTGTATTGGGAGAAGTGGACTCATTTAAGATAAAAGTACAAGAAAATCTGATAATTGCTTAATTCTTTTTAAAGATTTTATTTATTTATTTGACAGAGAGAGAGAGCACATGAGGGAGCAGCAGAGGGAGAAGCAGGCTCCCCGCTGAGCAGGGAGCCCAACACAGGGCTGGATCCCAGGACCCTGGGGTCATGACCTGAGCTGAAGGCAGACGCTTCACTAACTGAGCCACCCAGGCGCCCCTGATAATTGCTTTAATAGGGAAAGTACAGGGTGTTGTAGAAAAAAAGGGAAAGAGGGCATCAGCTTCCTAGAAAGTATCAGAGAGGTCTTTGCAGAAAGGAGTCCTATCTCTGAGACTTGATGAATGAGTTTGAAACGATGACGTGCAGAGGGGACAGAGAAGACGAGGGTGTGGAGATGAGCAAGAGCAAGGCAGGGATGGTGAGGTCAGGAAGCCACAGGGACAGAAGTGCTGAGCATCCAGGCAGCTGGACCAGGGACATGGCAGGTTGGGGTCGGATCTCAAGGAGCCTCGCATACTGTCCAGAGGAATGCAGATTCTCTGTGTTGAAAAGCCATCAGCAAATTAATGTCTATAATGTGCCAAGCATGTGTTGAATACTGAGGATAAAAGGGTGGACAAGAATGTACACAGTTTTGCTTTCCTGGAGCTTACTAATTAGTTAGAGAAACAAGCATTAATCAATGAATACAGCCAAAAAAAAAAAAAAAAAAAGTATAAAGGTGACTGGTATAAAAAAGGAAAGTGTTTCCCTCAAAGCATGTCGTAGGAGGTAATGACCTGGCCGTGGAGGTCAGGAAAGTCTCCCCCAAGCGGGAGAGGACTAAACTGAGATCTGAAGGAGAAGAGAATACAGGGTCATCTGAAGAAGGTGGGTGATTTGGAGAGAAGAGGAGATCATGTGCAAAGGCCCTGAGGCCTAGGAGAGCAAAGTGCTCCTTAGGAATTAAAAGTAAGCCTGGAAAAGCTGGAGTGCAGGCTGGAAAAGAGGACAAGGACTGGACCGTACTGGGCCCTGGAGGCCATGTTAAGAATCTAGCTCAATGGAAAGCCATTGCATTACTGTAAGCAGGAGCTGAGGATGGGCAGGAGGAGAATGGGCTGAAGGGTGGCAGGAGTGGGAGCAGGGAGACCATTTGGGAGGCCAATGCAATAGTCCCGGTGAGTCCTGCTACTTGGTGGCCTAGAGCAGGGGTGATGGTGTAGGGGAGAGTTAGAAGGGCCGTGTGCTGGTGATAGAATCCATGACTGGTTGGTTGGGTATCGGGCATAGTTAGGTAGAGGAAGATGTCAGGGTGATGTTGGTGGCCATTGCTGAGCTAGGAAAACAGGAGAGGGCAGAATCCACTGCTTGGATTTCCAGGAAACATCAGACTGGGGGGAGTGGATATCATAAGGAATTGAGGTTTGAGGTTGGCCTTGAAGAATGAATAGGCATTTTCTAGTTGGCAAGTAGTAAAAGGCATGCTAATCAAAGGGAGTGGCATGCATAAAAACACAGAGGGATATAACCAAAATAGTTCGAAGAAATATACACATACACACACATCTAAAAGGGAAATTAATATTGACCCATAAATAACTGTTGGTTTCTTGATAGGCTCACATCTATTTTGTGTTGCAGTGATTCGAAAACCTGTAGTATACAGAATTTGTAAATAGGTAAATAGGTAAAAATGTCTAAGTATTTTTTAAACCATAGACATAATATATAGAAATTCCTTTCTTTACTTCCATATCTTAAATTAGGTATTCACATATGGTTCTTGATTTTGTTAATCTTTCTTCTTTCCAATAAAATGTAGCCATTTAGGGAGGACTTGGATTTTAGGTTTTTCCTTTGTGGTTTTGCATCTGGATTTGGGATTAGTTGGCATTTTTAATTGACTAAAATAACTACGAATTTACTCTTGATTGAAATAGCAACATGTTGATTTCAATTTAGCTTGGGAATTAAAATCGAAGGGCAGCCACATCCAAAAAGAGTTAGTAATGCTAAGACCTATGTAACATATCAACTCTGGGAAAAAATAAGGTGATGTCAATTTTATACTTAATGTTTTTATAATAAATACAGGCGTGTTGATAGCAGATAGCAAGATCAATTTGAGAGAGATGGTACAATACTGAAATTATAAACATGGACTCTGTGAACCATATTGGCTTAAATCCTGGCTTTAACATCTGCTAGCTGTCCGAACGCTCAGATTTCTTGTCAATAACAGAGATAGTAATGATTGCCAGCTACTTTACAGGGTGCAATACAGTGGGGGTAACGTGCATAAAGCCAAGAACATATTAAGTGTTCAGTAAATGTTAGTGATGACTTTGAATTTTATCACCAATACGGTGCTGGACCTGAGTCATCAACAGAGAGGCACATAGAGTTGTGAAAGTGGACACAGGCTGTTATGGTAAAACCAGGTACTGAATTTGCTTCACTTTGTGGCTGGAAGGAATCTTAAGATACCATCAAATTCAGTAATGTTGCTGACATTTTCTGGAGGAGAACTATTTTTTTTTTTTTTTTATTGCTCTGAAGTTTTAGAATCATTAGGAAAGGAGGGGAAGGGACCACATCATCTTGATGGTGATATCCCTGAAGTTAGAAGATGGGGTGGGGTGTGACCCCTGGCCAGAACCCTCTCATCCCCAGTGATGAGGACCTGCTGTGGGTCTGCTTGCTGAGTTTTTGACATTCTGCCATAAAAATTGTGTGTGTGTGTGTGTGTGTGAGAGAGAGAGAGAGAGAGAGGGAGAGAGAGATTATGCAACTATGTTTCTCTTTTCTGTGACTTCAGCTAATGTGAATGAAGGCCATTGAAAGCTGCCTAACTCAGTGGGAAATTGTTTTTATAATTACAGGTCTAGGCATTTTACACTGAATTTCTCTACTGCCGCCCCCTCCACTCCAGCAAAATCTGTGTGGAAAGATCCACTGGGAAGGAACTGACGGCTTATGTTTCTCCAGTGTGATGAAAGCACATGGTACAGGTAAATATCTCCAAAATCTTTAACTAAAAATAACCGTCCTTTAGTGTAAGGTTCCCAAGAGAGTGGTGGGGATGTATGCATACCTATTCTCACACACACACACAAACACACCACATAAACATACATCTAGAGATGCATATTCTCCAGCTATTTCTTCTGTCTGTGTCTTATAAAAATGGAACCCTTGCTTTTTTTGTGGGAAAGAAAATAGCTTCTAATTATTTTGAGATCACTGATTAGGAGGGATGATAAGGCATTGATAAGAAAGAGAGAATTCTGATGACGTGGTGTTCATAAATTCAGCTAGAGAGACTACCATCAGATGATAGTAGGGAATAATACAATATACACTATTACCTAACTTGTTTGTTCCTCCTAAATATGTAATAATGAACATCTTTTCATAACAATGGATGTATATTTACAGCATGATTTTTAAGGATTATATATAGTAGACCATTGAATGTATATCTTAAAATATATTTAATTGATCCCCTCTATTGGACATTTAGGGTGTTTCTATTTTTTTTGGCTTTTATGCTACCATGAATGTTCTTATAGCTTTATATTAGTTGCCATTACTAGTGATTTCCTTAGGGTAACTCCCTTACCAGTAAATTGGAGAGTTTAAAAGTTTTCAAGTGTTAGGACTTTTTGACACTATGTGTTGCCAGATTATTTTTCTATAAAGTCATACTAGTTTATATTTCCAGAGGCAGTATATGGGAGTACCTGTTTCCATGTAATTTTGCCAGGGCTGAGAATTTTGAAAACAAAGAGTCTTGCCAATTGATTATGAGAAATGGTATCTCGTGTCTCATTTTTTTTTTTTTTTTTGCAGGGAGGCATTTATTTGTAAATTTATAAATCATACTATTTTGAAGAACTTTCCTCCAATAGACAGTAGCATGCTTAAAACTTACCGGTTTTTGACATTTGAGAAATAACACTTAAATCAAGAAGGCGTGGAAGGGTCCTAGAGAATTTCGAGTTGTCCCCCTTTTTTCGGCCAAGTATTTTTAGACAACCACAATATCACTGGGTAGCAATACTTTTTCAACGGAAAACATAGTTTTTCGTTTCTTAATAAGAGTAAAAGTATTTAATAAATGGCCCACATTAAACATGGATCTGAAATTATACTGAAATTGAAGTATATGTATGTGTGTGTCTATCTGTGTATGTACCTACCTGTCCAACATTGGGAGCATGATTCAATATAATTACGGCAGCTCCATATGATTCAGAGGCTGCAGATCACTGTAGACAAGACTGCAGGCCCCAGACTGCTTGGACTCAAATTCCAGTTTTGCTGTTCTCCTGAACATTGGGCAAGTTACTTTACATCTTGTCTAAGGTTATAAAATTTATAGAATAATAGTATATATCTCATAGGATGTTGTGGCAACAAAATAGAGGTGAAATGTTGAAAATTACTAAAAATCCCATTTCAAAACACTATTTAATGGTAGCAGAAACCGCTCATGATAAAAGTAAAAAGAAAGCAAAATATGACGCTTAAACGTAGTGTAATCCCAGTCTTGTAAAATTATTATTTTTTTCTTCTGCCTCTTTCTTTTCATCCTCTTCTGGTATCCCCCCCCCAAAAAAATTGTTTTAATATATTTCTGAATGGCTTTAATTTGAATTAATGGAGTCATCACAGTTCTGGAGAAACTGTCTGACCGAAGCCTGCAAGTCAGAGAGACCCATTGAGCACAGAGCCGTGACATCCGTCGATGTCACCTGGCCCGTGGGCCCCTTGAGACAGCCCTTGTGCGAGAGCAGGTTGCCTTGCTCCTGCACCCCAGCGAGCACCTTGGGTCAGGCAGGCTTCCTGGCCTCTTTGAGCTGCACATGGAGAGTCTCCGTCTGGCTCGGTGCGTGAGCTACCAGCCTCATCTCTTCCCCCACGATAAACAAGCTTCCTTTCCCTAATTAAATGAACAAGAAGGTAGAGTGAGAGACGCCCCCCTCTGCCCCCCGCCCAGCTCTTAGGAAACATATGCTTCATCCCACATAAACACAGAAGGGAAACCTGTGGGGTTGTGAGGCTCCTCAATCCTTTAGCTATATCAGACAGTTGAAAAATAGAAGGAAAAAGAGGCAAAGGGTTATTTGGCATTAAGGAGACAAACACAAGGCCACTCGGTGAGCTTTGGCTAGCGCTTTTCACTGGCTATTCTGCAACCGTTGTGTGTAAATCCGCATGTTTGTTTTGGCCCACACTTACAGTCTAACTTGAACAGCTCTGTATTTTTCAATAAGAGGAGGAACATCTGAATTCCTAATTAAAACAGTTTAGCCTAAGAACTTCTCTTTAATGACTCATAAATTATTCTCCCATAAATGATTGTAAGAGCGAATAAGGAAATGCAACTTGTATTTGCACACATACATCTGTTATTTTGATTAAATGAGTAAGTTCATAAAGGGAGAGAGGACAATAAATGCGTCAGCAAATATAGGGCAGGAAAAGAGTTCATAGTGTCCTGCCAGACTCCAACGAGGCACCTCACGAGTGTAGGTAGATAGGAAAGCTGGACGTTACAGTAGTGAGAATGGTAATAACACTACCATATGGAACATTTGGTATTTGGATAGCACTTGGACTCCTCCTAAACTACAGAATCAATAGGAACTCAAACAGAGAGGAAGAAAGAGTTCTCTTCCTGCAAATCCCTGGCTGGGGTGCAGAAATGCAGACGTGTGGATTATCCAGGGCCTTATCAGAACGAATGTCTCTAGGGAGGCAGAAGAGTGCGGGAATATTCCACCCTATTTAACTGTGCTCTAGCCTCACACCCATGGTCCAGCACTTTTTGATGGTCTCCATAACCAAACCATTTTCGCAGTCATGGAGGAAACCTGTCTGCAAGACCAGGCCAAGACCACTGTTGGAAACTCAATTCGTAGAGTCCCACAGGGCCTGTGGGGTGGTTAGGACTCTGCCGGTACAGAATGGAGGCACAGCTTTCGAATTGTAAGAGGCTGAGACCGTGTCTTTAAATTCTTCTAACTCCATTCAGTCATGTATTACCCATTTATTCATTCAGCAAATACCTCTTTGGGGAGCTTCGATGCACTGGTACAGTTCTAAGCACTAGAGATCACGAACGGAACAAGACGGACAGGAGGCCTGCCCTAATGGAGTGCACATTTCCAAGGGAGGTGTAGTCGACAGCATTATAACCTAGTTCAGGTGAACATGGAGCTGAACTGGGCCGTTCTGCAAGGAGGCAGAGAATGCATCTGAAATGAGAGAAGCCAATGGAGAAAGACCCTTTGATCTGAAAGGCAGAAAGAACCAGAGAACAGTCGGCAGTTGGCAGTGAGGTTGTGGTTATTGACAGTGGGACCAGATTGGGAGTGGAGTAGAAAGTAAAGAGAGAAGACAGCTGTGGAACTCTGCTTGGATGAGCATGGTCAGGGCCGGGAACATTCCGGGAGCTGTTGATCTCAACGTAGGTAATCTAAATAGTGCCCGCGATTGGCAAGCCATATTTTAAGCAGTTGTGACTCTATGAACATGCTAGATAGAAGGGTGGGTGACGCATGGTATATTGAGATACTTTCTCTGTTCAGCTACCACCCAAAGAATGGACGGGGAGGTGTGTGGTTGCTTTACCAGAACCTGTGTACCTTATTCCAATTTGTATTAACCACATCCCTTTTCTTCGTTATCCACCGCCGTTCATGTTATAGGGGGAGATTAAGTATATAATTAATTCTACCTTCTGTGCACAAGCATAGTTAATTTTACTTGGTTAACTTGAAATGGATAGAAGTTCCATATCAAAATAGTCTCTCTGGTCGTCACATCTTGGCCTCTCCAGTATTTGGTGCCTTTCCACTCTGCTTGTTTGTGGGATTATGGTTCTTCTGACCTTCTTCCCTCCATTCCTAGGTATTTAGTGGTCTCTTAAATAATAAAATCCACTCAGAGATTTCTTTTGTCTTTTTTGGCCTTCAGCATGGGTTAGGTAAAGGCTGTATTTCTGGCTTTGGATTGACTGTCATGGGGGGGTGGCTTTTTCTCTATTTTGCCTTTCCCTGGTCAACTGCTTTCTTTTGGGGCTCAAACCTCTACCATATGCTTTACCTAAATGCTTCTTCTTTCTTTGACACACCCAGTTTAGTTGCTTATCCCACTCCCCAACCCAACCCACCCAACCATCCAACACATGCATATACTGTGCTTTCTGGGCTTTGCAACATACGTTTCCACGGTTAAAAACCCTATTGATATTCATTAGATATTTAAAATAGAGATCTCCTCCAAACTTATCTTTCAGCACAAATACGTTCTTCCGTTTTCCACTCCAGTTCCTGGAAAAAAAAAAAAGTCTCTATAATTCATAGCCAGTTTGGGGGAAGGTATTTATTTTGAAACACTTAATGATGTGTTTCGTGGCAAAATAAAAACCGTAGAGACAAAGACTCAAGAGTACATAGTGTTTTAGATGTAGCCATAGCTTTTCAAAATGATTTTGGAGTATATTCGAGTTTCTAAATTTACCAGAAGCGCTTTATTCTTTGAAAGCCTCATAAATCATGTGATGGACTGTGTCAGTGTGCAGACATTCATGTAGTTCCTTTACCTTAGGAAATAAGGTAGATTGTTGTGTCACCTGATGGAGGAAAACACATGGAATAAACACGATGGAGGTTGACACCAAAGCCTACCATTTTGTCTCTGAGACCCTAAGGTGGAATGCTGCAGAGATTCTGTCATCTCTACTACATGGAGGCTGCTCTTGCTGTTGACATACTGCACTGTTCCAAGTCTAAGCAATGAGTAGAAGGAGCAATATCAAAGGGTCGGTATTCTGTGGTACCTTTCAAATTAGTGTTTTTTTTCTCATCGAGTTTTTATCAAGTCTGTCATTTAAATGAAGCATTTAAATATGTTTTCTAAATTGTAGAATGTTAGATGTTATAGCTTCTGATGTGGTAGTGTTTGGACGTAGAAGGGAACTTGAAGATCATTTAGTCCCCTT